CAGTTACCATAAAGATCAAACTTGATATAGTTCCTGTTTCCAGACTGCTGTCTAGCTTTTATGCTTCCATTTTCTCTTCATGATTGCAAATTCAATCCATACTAGTAGTGGCTGGATAATTATAAATTCCCAACCTATAAAGAAGCACAAAAAGATCATGGCATCTTGAGTTGGGGAGATGATCCCTTGTTCCAGGGAGACTCTTTTGGTCAGCAAAAGAGTGGTTAGACAGTAGTGTAAGCCTCCCTGCCGTGCACCTCTCTGGTCCTGAATGCTAGCGTACAACTCTGCACTGACTTCTTCCTCAGGACATCCTGTGGGTCTCATAACAATGATTCAGAGCCCTGCCCCCCTTGTCACAACTGAAATATGGAAACTACATTATTCAAGTACAGGGGCCATTGTTTTCCCACAGTTCAGAGATAACTGGGACAAGCAGCCCCTGAAAAATGTCTTTAGTCTTAGTGACTTGTCTGATAATTCTGTTACGACAAACTAGATTTCTCGGTCTTATTAAGGCAAACTAAAAAGACATTTGAATGCAGTCTCCATTATCACTTAAGAGCATACTTTTTAGATAAATTAGCAAACCTACAATAGGTTAATCCTGCCTCTCCACAGACACAAAAAGCACCTTTGACATGCATACACTAGATTGGTTGCCGTAAACAGACTCAGACAGCTGCTAGCATCTTCTCTAGACAAAGGGCAACAGAGAGCAGAGAAAGATTTTCATTAAGCTGTGAACAAATTGAGTCTTTTCATGTAGTGGTCCATAGTTTTTCAGTAGGAGAAAATTAACATTCAATGTGACAGGAAAAAAAACTTGTCTGGGTCAGTAAAAGTACATGCAAAGAACACATCACTGATGACACAGAAACAGAGAAGTATAGGCAATACAACAATGGCTGTCTCTGTCTGCCATGAACTCTGTGCATTATACAGATGAGCGAAGCCAAACATGTTATTTACCATTTCAGGTTAATTAAAATGTATCTGTCATCAATTAAAAACCAACAGAACAAGAACAGCTTGAGTGAATAACATCTGCATGTAAGTTCAATTCAATTTTATTTGTATAGCACCAAATCATAACAAAAGTAAGATCTAGAGCTTACTATTAATATTATAGAGGAAAATCCCAACAAATGCCATTTGAAATTTGTTACAGCGCCATGTGTATGGAGAGGGAGGGTTGGACGGAGGAGGATTTTTTTTTTAACCACTAACTTCTGGCAGCTGTCCAAATGCCCCAGGTGTCATGACCAAGCATCAAAGAGCAACATGAGTGAAGAGATGACACCCTCTGAAGACAGTGAGGCGCACAAGACCTGTTATCATCCATGCCTTTGAGTCTTCATCTCTGATGTCTCACTGATTGATTTGTCTTTCAGTCTCTCCTTTTCAGACTTCCTCTGGCTTGCTGGCTGTCTCAATATTGTGTTACCTACTGACCATTAGGGACAGTCCAGGAGTGTGGTGATTTAAAGCACCCCCTTGTGGACCAGCAAATTCCCAAGTTTCCACTTGTTAACTAGATATACAACTACTGTATATTCTGCTGGACTAGATGACAAAATAAATTATAAAAAAAGTAAGATGTTCTTTTAAAAGAGAATTTCAGAAACCTATTTAATGTATGTTTTTTGTTTCATAGAAACTGTGGACGTTGTTTTCCATCTGGTCACTAAAGTTACAATCGGTCAGCCAAAGTTAGTCTCAACCATGCCAGTAATTCCTTTGACTAATCCTATAATGGAGCTCCTTTGTTTCATTTTTGCATTGTACACATTATCATAGAATCATGCAGAATGCAGAGATGCATTCTGAAGCATCTTTAAGAAGTGGGTCATAACTCAGGCATTGAGACAGGGCAGGCAAGCAGTTGGACAACCTTCACCCCACAACATGGAGAAAAGAATGAAATAAATGTGGCTGTGCTTGGTCAACAAGTCAAGTGGCCTCCACTGAGATTCTTGTGCTCAAGTCAGGTGAAGAATTGCATTCCTAGCAGATAAACATGAGAGTTGAGATCCATTTTGTTTGTATTCATTCAGAAGATGGGGAAATGGATCTGTTTAAGGAAAAATAACCCCTCCTAACATGACCTCACATTGTGACCTTGAAGAATCTAATTTCTGACTCGACTCCAACTGAGCAGAGATCAATAAACTATACCTGCAGGTTATTTCCCACAGTGGTTTGAAAGGCTGGTATAAGCAGAACAAGTAATGCAACAGTAAGATTTCATGCCAAGATATTTGAGCAATATCTGGCACCAACGTGCAATTACCTGTATGTCTGTGTGTATCTATGCATGCTAGTGAGTAAATACTGGCCTTTGACTTTGGCAATGACTGTGCCAGCTGCTCCCAGGATGTCTACAGAGTTGAGGGTCTGGTGTTTGCTGATGACAGCCTTGAGGACGCGGAGTAACTCTGACAAACGTTCCTGCACCACCTCCTGAAGACCGTCCTGATTTTCTGGACAAAACAAAACAAAAAGAAAACATTAGAAGGTCACTCAGGTCAAGTCTTCAGTATCAAGACATGACAAGATCAACAAAAGCTTCCTTCAATCAAAATCCCAAACACCACACACACAGTTTGCTCTCACACATTATCGCCTATTAGTCATAGTCACTAAAATCCCACTCATTTTGAGTCACAGGTGAGTCAGTCTCACACTAATTCTTGGCATTCCTTTTGTCACTGCAGCACACATTATTTGGCAAATACTTTGTCATTTGAAACTATGACACTGTGCTGTCATCAGCTCCTTTGGGCAAATCAGGCAAACAGTAAATCCTGTGTTCATTGTACATGTGGTTGTGTTGTATCTGGATGAAAAGCAGAAGACAGACTTGGTTGTGGTTGACAGTCAGTGACAAACTCGGGTGCATAAAACCACTGTGAAGCAACTTCATTTCTGCTTCATCCAGGCAGAGTGTGACACCATGTACAACGGAAGAGGTGTGTACTGTAGACAGGTTATACCGTCTCAGTCACGGTTAAAACATTCCCACAAAGGCAGAGACAATTAACAGAAAAATTAAGTCACCTTGCTAAATAAGGATGAGGAAATAAAATTTTTGTGGTAACCCAAGTGGTACACATAGTGGCAATTATGCACACAGGCTTTTTCTGCAGTAATCATATCAATGTGTGTGTAAAATCATACAGTTTGGGTAGCAAGAAAAGTTGAGGACAATCTTACATTTCTCTGGTACTAATGAGGTTTCAGAAGATGACACTTCAGTATGAAAAGTGTACAATATGCCCTGAGACTGCTCATCTCCCTTTACTTCTTTTAACCACATCACATTTGATCAGTCCTGCTTTGAAGGGCAAGTCTTAATTGTATTTCACAAAGCATTTTCCTGACCATATATGTTCTATTGGATTTTTTGCTATACAGAAATCCTACAGCACTTTTCAAATCAATGTTAGTGTTTTACAGACAAGCTCTTTGTACAAAATAACAGCTTACAAGAAAGACAACACACATAAAGACAAGATAAATTTTTTCCAACCAACAAGTGGCAAAGGTTTCTGTTTCTATCTGATGCAATTAATTAGCAGTGGCTTTCAGAGTTGGCACCAAACAATAGGTGAGTTCATGCCTGACTCATTGTTTAGAAGAAGCACAAGCACCAGCTGGAAACAGAAAAGTCATCAGTTTTTCCATCAAGGCCAACCCTCCAGGTGGCAAGGCGGGATGAGAGAATTTATTGGAACGTTAAAAGGACTTACAAAAGGAGTGAAAACCAGAGCCCGGGTGTGTGTGTGTTCCACTTTCTACTCCCCTCTTATTCATATGATCACACACTAATTAAATTGGCTGGTGTAAAACATGGTAAAAGAGACATAATCTGCAACTGAGACATAGGCTCAGGCCATGTGACAGTATTTCTAAAATGACAGCAGAGGCAAATATTTACACAGATACTAAGCAAGAGAAGATTTGTTAAATAACATTACTACCAAGATAAAGAAGACATTTCATGAAGACATTTTCCAAATACATGAAAAATAAATAAAACAATTACAACACTGTCCATCTTGCTGGTCAGATGCTAGCCAGTCCAGCCACCACCCCAGTTTCAACCCCTAAGGATTAGAGAAGAAGCATCCTGTAGAGCAGGGGTCTCACCTGCTCACTTGCCCCAAGGCAGGAGGTCCCTTACCCTGC